CACTGCAAGTTGAGCACCCGGTTTCTGAACCCAGCAGAGGGGGTGCCCATCGAGGACCCACTCTAGAAAGGGACAGAAACACACAGGTCCCGGGAAACACTGCAAAGAAAACTAGCAGAAGGGTTATTTTTACACACAATCACCAGTCTCGTTAGATACACATATATATTCATATATACATGTATTAGACATGGATCATACTCACCCACCATGGTTCCCGTGTCGGAGCTCTGTCCGAAGAAGCCTCTAGACCGGACCATCAGTAAGATGGTTACTATGAAGCCATAGAACCAACCAAACTTAATAGGTCCAGTATAGGAGACTATAATGCAGGAAATTTCCCACCTAACCTCGGTCAGGTGGAGAGATGGTGGTTACAGGGGAATTAGGAAGGTGAAGATAAGGGCAGATGTAAGACCCCCGAAGGAAATGAGTAGATACTGAGGTATCACTCTGATCCGGACAAAAGCGCTGACACCCTGTCTGGATCACATCCCTTAGGTCTTTTACTTACTTTCCTTTGACTCGCGATTCTTCCTACCCCTACCCGCGGGCGGGGGAGGAGCGCAAGCTGTGACACTAGCCTTCTGAGCCAGTATCTGATCCTCAAAACTGAGACGGGCTAGGACCCCTGGGTTGTTCGGGCTCAGACCTGGACTTCTATCCCGGTCTTTCAGCCGATCAGCCTGATATGCTTGGAGCATCACCATCGTGTACAATGAAGCGACAGCCCGACCAGCTGCTGCTGTGTATGCCCTGGCATCCGAGCGAGATGTCAAGGAGGGGAGTCTTAGAGGACGTCTTACCCATAGAGAGATAGCTGGCCAGCGTCTCTCTATAGGGGCATCTTCTCATAACCACTTTTGCGCATCGCCTCGATGTTGGCATAACTTGTATGCTGGAATCGATGGATGCGTGAGGATTAAAAGGCCTCTTCCATTCCTTCTTATTCTTTATATGAAAAACAGGAAGAAAGGAAGGCTGGAGGGTTATTCGTATGTGTCATCAGATGTTAAACAACGTCAACACGAATGCACACATCCTTAAATGCTTTGCTAGTGCTCGCCATAATGAGATAAATAGAGATCGCTCTTACCACAGAAATGCACGCTTCAAACAAAACAGTCAATGAAGACGAAGAAGAGAATGATGTGTAGCTCCCGGCGCCTATTTATACTATAGTTGCACCGGTAGTGACGTCATGGCTGTCGCCGGCCAAGGAGTTGGTGTTTTTTCAATGTATGCTTCAGACACGGGTCAAGACGAGGCGTTCCCCATAGCGACCCCTAGAGGACGCAGTTCGAAGTTCTCATGAAAGGGAACAGGTACTGCACATGTACTATACTGCTATATAACTGTCGCCTTACATTTTATTGCTACTTTCAAATAGTTTTTTTCTATATTAACATATCCTAGATGTAATTGTGCCGCATATCACTGCTGTTTTGCACATGAGTGCAGTGTTTTTAAAATGGCGTGCTGAGTTGTTCAGTATTTAAAAATGCATCTTGAGCATTTTTCAAAAATAATTAATGGCATTCACATGATTATTGACATAATTCATTTAGCAATTACTTTTCAAAATATATATTTAAATGCTAAGCAAGTTTAAAGAATGGGGCAGTGCTGTCCACAAAACATGTATAGGATCTCCAGTGCATCAGGTTCTGCAGAGTGTCTTGTGACTCCTACACTTTGTCCTTTGGTTGGCTGAGTAATTACAGGAGGTGTAGTTTCTATCATTGGATGCACCTTGTTAGCTGCTTTTTTTATGTCCATTTGTGTGAAGACAGTTACAATGCTGTGCTTCTCAGCCCAACATTTTGGAGGCTCTGTTAAATGAGTCACTTTGTTTTCTGTTTTCCTTTTTGGACTGTCAGTTTTTTGCTCATCTGGCTGTACATCAGAATCATTGGCATTTGGAAGGTGAAAGTAGGTGATTGTCCTCCCTGGGCACTCTTCCTCTTGTTCTGTGAAAGAAGGATCCTTGTCAGGCATCATAGGAGAATGGCCAAATAAGGAATATGGGATATCCTCTTTTACAGAATTCCACTCTGACTCAGCCAACACATCCATGTCTTTTATATGCTTGGATGTGTCTTCATTCTCCGAAATAAATTTCAGACTCATTTGGTTTTCCCTAAGTAACCAGCGATTAAGACCCTACACCCTTATCAATTAAGACTGCATCCTTGGGTCCCACCCTGGCATTCAGAGTGACACAGTTCATTGGCTCATTGAAGCTATCTACTGAGCTTGTGGCATTAAAGTATGACAAATCTGGAATGGATTTTGTGTGAACCTGGTGGAGGGAGGGCAGAGTTGAGGCATTTGTGCCTCTAAGACCTTCTCTCTTCTCGACTTTGCAAGTTGAAGGAGTTCTCTTCTCATCAGAACTACATCCTTTAGAGCCTTTTCCATAAAGCTGCTCAATAGTTCTTTTTACATAACCCTTGGCAATGGACATCCTGCATGTGTTTTTCTCTTCCCTCAATACCTCTGAGGATGTTAATAATTGGTATTCTTTTCTGTAGGAAGATTCAAGTTGGTAATCTGACAATTTAGAACTTGGGCTGCTCATCTGTGTCTGTCCATGTTGCATGTCTGTATTGCTCTTAGCAAGAAACATGTCTCTGATAGATTTCACTCTGTTGGTCTGAATGTGTACCTCTTTATCTTTTGCCAAATCACTGTTTTTGGAATCATAACTGAATGCTAATGATGATGAGAGAGAATCCATTGATCCACTTTCTGTGGTTCTGATAGTCTTTGATGCCTCTTGATTAGTTACACTTATGTGATTCAAGACCCTTTTGCCAGTAGTCTGTTCTGTATTATAAGTTCTCTTAGCCACTGATTTTTCCTGGTGTTGTAAACTACCAATAGGCTTTGCAACAGTACTTTCCTCCTTAACATTTTTCTCAATTTCTTCATACTCAATGGTTTCTTCAGGAATCTCCACAAAGTTCTCCTGATAGATGGTGTAGCGTTCTGGTGCTTCTAGGATTACATGTTCCTCCTCAGAATAAGTCATACTTTCCATACAGAAGTCTTGGTATGTTTTTGAATGTTGTATTTCATCCACTTCTATATTTGATTCATTATGAGTTTGAGGAATACCTTGCACCTCAGGTAATACAATATCCCTATCTGTTCTTTTTGTTTTATTGTGTAACTGATCTTGAGTTTGAATGGACTGAATCTCATTTTGGCAATGTCCTGATATTGTCTCTTTTGAGCATATTTGTTCTACTCTATCATTTGGTCCAGGACTTTTCACAGTAAGATTTTTTTCTTTACTGAAAAACCTCTCATTAGGAAAGATCTCATCATTATTGCTTCCATTCTCCTCCTGGAAGTTGACCTTTTCTTTTGCAGAGAAATTTAGTTTTCCTATACAGGTAACAAGTGATTCTGATAATTTAGACCCCTCCTCTTCAACTGTGTCTCTGTCTTTTTCTATTTCGTTTACTTTTCTTATCAACTCTTCTTTTTTTAATACTGTCTTCAGAGATTTAGAATTCTTCTCCCATTTAGAACTATTTTCTTTGCATGTACCACTTCCCACAGTAATTTCCCTTTGTCTCTCTACTCTCATCTCTTCTACCTTTTCCTGATGTTTCTTAAAAGTTTCTTCTTCTTGTCTTTTGTGTCCTACTTTCTCTAACTCACTGTACATTTCAGCCCCAAAGCTAAATTCACCAGATGGCATATCCTTGCAGATATAAGAAACATTTATTGCATCCCCTTGTATTTTTTTATTTGTATCGTAAAAGTTGTCATTTCTCACATCTTGTTGGTATCTATCACCAATCACAAGATCATTTTCATGTAGTTTCAGTGAGCCTACCATGAAAACCTGTGAATCGTTTAAATATCTTTAAGGTGTGCAGTTATAGCTCTATCAATAACTGAATTAACATAGATGTTCACATAATCTTCCAGCAAAAAATCTGAGAAACAAGCCATTTTCTCTTTAGAGTGGAGCTCTGAAAATCCATTAATTTTCATTGCTGGGATTGAATCACTAACATTGTCAGTGTCTTCTGTCTGATTGCATATCATGTTTTCATCTAAATGGTTGAGGGCTGCCAACTCCTCTCTGACTCGCTCAGGAACACCTAAATGTTCCATCAGCACTTGGATAGCATGGTCTTCCTCCTCTGAACTTGGACTTTGATGGGACTCACTCACAGTGGTCTCTGGTGTGGCACTGCTACACCTTGCTTTATTGATCAGTACTTGGAAGCTCTTCCAGCTCTGTAAGAGCTGAACAGATGCTGAGTTGTGAAGGTCGGATAGACTTTTCCTTAGATGCTCTGCGTCTTCTATTTCTGCCAATTCTTTTAGAGACTGCAGCATGAGCATAGCCTCAGAACAGCTTAGGTTGGCATCAGCCTGACCACATGCATTTAAATGGCATAAGCCATTCATTAAAGTCATAACAGAAAGAAAGGCAAGGAGTACCCGAGAGGAAGAGCTAAATGTTGATTTCACATGTGTAGAAAAATCTGGCACACATTTAGACGTTTTCAAACGCAATGTCTGTTTGTGTTGTGTGATCTCATGTAGTGACTGAATGTAATAACAAAGCTGATCAAGTACTGGCTTCATATCTGGCCTTACAGACATTTTTACTGTGTAGAATTGTTGTGCTTGCAAATCTATCAGTTCTATTGGAGGCTTTGTTTGGATATCAAGTGGTCTCTGCAAAGTATTTTCTGTGTCGTATGAGTCGGACTTACATATTAGCTCATATGTCTGCTGATTTTCCCTTGTTTTTGTTAAATGATCACTGTTTAGTTTTTCTGGCTTTTTTGTCTTTGGTGAATATCCACAAATCTCTTTCTCTTCAAAAGCTTCCTTTGTTGATGGTTGTATTGTATTAACAGATTTATATTTGAAGAGAGATGCTTTTACCATTGTGTTATTTTTGGGTATAGTTTCTAAAGAGTACTGGTTAAGCAGTGGAGGTTTTACTTTTTTACTTCTCTGTAGCCAGAGTTCAACATATTCTGATGTTTGCTGTCTCAATGTGCAATCTGTTTGAGGTTTTAGGGGTACATTTCCATTTCCATTTCCATTTCCATTATTATTTCTCCTTTTTGTAGTTTTTGAGCAGCTCTGAAATGCTCTTTTAGTTTCATAGCTCCTTTCTGGCTTAATATATCAAGTCTTTTTTTCTTTATTTCTTTCAGAATGTCAGCTTTATTAGCCATTTGTTTTCTTTTTGGAATAGCAGACTTAAACATTACTCTAACTGGCTTTCTCTTTGTTGTTGTACCAAGAGTAAGAACTCCTTTAGATACTGAGGCTTTTGAGGATGCGGTAATTGGTGTCACTGCCACCTTGGACCTCTTTGTTGAGGTGGTGTTTGTTTTGTCAGTGGAAGTATAAGGTTTAGAAATTGGGAAGTGTGTACCTGACTGACATTTGATGGTTGCCAATTTCTCAGATTGTATATCTTCATTAAAGAAATGGGAGATTTTATCTGATGATGCTGGAAAAGTGGTGTCAGGAGATTCTATATAGTCATTGGGTGAACCATAAGGTGAACTGCCAAAGCCTTGCAAATTAAGTTGTGTATTGCCTGAGAAGTTCTCTTGACAAGTCTGCTTTTCATAAATATGTAATGGTGTCTCGCACATCTTATTCTGATTGTCCTGAAACTGGAGATTCTTTGAACATCTGTAGTTGCTCAGTTGTAGCCGTGTTGTGGTGTGAATTTCAGAGGCCAGGGTACATTGAGGCTTCGGTACAGGGTGGTTACACTGCTGTACCATATAGTATTCCTGCTTCACTTCTCCACTGTCCAGCTCTTTCATGTAAGAGCATGAATGGTTCTTATGAATTTCTGTATTACTAACAGTGTTGATGCTCTCAATGGATCCTTGTTTGTGTTGTACCTTGTGCATCCCTGGAAAGTGGGAAAGTGTTGAGAGTAGCTGCTCTAACTCCATGCTGGCAGCACCTCCACTGATCCCAGTCTCTTCATTTACCTTACAGCCATCCTCAGGGCAGAAATTGTTGCTGTCATTAGGGTCACTGTCGCTGACCTCTATATTAAGAGTATCACTTTGTGGGGGTAAGTTGTCACGTAAAATAGCATCCAGGTCAGGACAGGAAATGGTGGCTCCTTTAAATTGATTGTACACTCTGGAACGACTGACAGTGGTTGTCCAATGAATTGTTTCCTCCTCTTTAATAGTGAGTCGTACCTTCATTTCTACTGTCATACTTCCATCTTGATTGACTCGGAAAGATTTCTCAATGTCATCATCAGAAGGCATCTGTTTGTTATCCTCTTTTTCACCATCATCCCGACTGGTGATTTCTGTTTCAGCAACTGACTCAAGATGCTGTCCAGGATCTACTTCCACAGAGCCATTTGGGTTGCTTGGAAAATCACACATACTTCCTGACATGCTGTTTTGTATTTGATTCAGAAAGTAGTGTTCAGAGGATGGGGAGAAAGGACGAGATTTGGTGCTGCTGGACATCTTTTTTCCTTTACAATGTTGGTGATATGTAGAAAAAAAAAGGATTTCACAGTGTGATGATCGATGTAGATGTTCATTAAGACCAGAAGTTGTTAGGTCAAGTCAGGACAGCAGAAAAGCATTGCAATTGAGAAAAATAAAGAGCAGACAGAAACAGATTAGAGAGAGCATGTATGCTATAATCCATATTGAAGGATGTACAGGTGCATCTCAATAAATTAGAATGTCGTGGAAACGTTCATTTATTTCAGTAATTCAACTCAAATTGTGAAACTCGTGTATTAAATAAATTCAATGCACACAGACTGAAGTAGTTTAAATCTTTGGTTCTTTTAATTGTGATGATTTTGGCTCACATTTAACAAAAACCCACCAATTCACTATCTCAACAAATTAGAATATGGTGACATGCCAATCAGCTAATCAGCTCAAAACACCTGCAAAGGTTTCCTGAGCCTTCAAAATGGTCTCTCAGTTTGGTTCACTAGGCTACACAATCATGGGGAAGACTGATGATCTGACAGTTGTCCAGAAGACAATCATTGACACCCTTCACAAGGAGCCACAAACATTCATTGCCAAAGAAACTGGCTGTTCACAGAGTGCTGTATCCAAGCATGTTAACAAAGTTGAGTGGAAGGAAAAAGTGTGAAAGAAAAAGATGCACAACCAACCGAGAGAACCACAGCCTTATGAGGATTGTCAAGCAAAATCGATGCAAGAATTTGAGTGAACTTCACAAGGAATGGACTGAGGCTGGGGTCAAGGCATCAAGAGCCACCACACACAGACGTGTCAAGGAATTTGGCTACAGTTGTCGTATTCCTCTTGTTAAGCCACTCCTGAACCACAGACAACGTCAGAGGCGTCTTACCTGGGCTAAGGAGAAGAAGAACTGGACTGTTGCCCAGTGGTCCAAAGTCCTCTTTTCAGATGAGAGCAAGTTTTGTATTTCATTTGGAAACCAAGGTCCTAGAGTCTGGAGGAAGGGTGGAGAAGCTCATAGCCCAAGTTGCTTGAAGTCCAGTGTTAAGTTTCCACAGTCTGTGATGATTTGGGGTGCAATGTCATCTGCTGGTGTTGGTCCATTGTGTTTTTTTGAAAACCAACGTCACTGCACCCGTTTACCAAGGCATTTTGGAGCACTTCATGCCTCCTTCTGCTGACCAGCTTTTTGAAGATGCTGATTTAATTTTACACAAGGATTTGGCACCTGCCTACACTGCCAAAAGCACCAAAAGTTGGTTAAATGACCATGGTGTTGGTGTGCTTGACTGGCCAGCAAACTCACCAGACCTGAACCCCATAGAGAATCTATGGGGTATTGTCAAGAGGAAAATGAGAAACAAGAGACCAAAAAAATGCAGATGAGCTGAAGGCCACTGTCAAAGCGACCTGGGTTTCCATACCACCTCAGCAGTGCCACAAACTGATCACCTCCATGCCACGCCGAATTGAGGCAGTAATTAAAGCAAAAGGAGCCCCTATCAAGTATTGAGTACATGTACAGTAAATTAACATACTTTCCAGAAGGCCAACAATTAACTAAAAATGTTTTTTTTATTGGTCTTATGAAGTATTCTAATTTGTTGAGATAGTGAATTGGTGGGTTTTTGTTAAATGTGAGCCAAAATCATCACAATTAAAGAACCAAAGACTTAAACTACTTCAGTCGTTGTGCACTGAATTTATTTAATACATGAGTTTCACAATTTGAGTTGAATTACTGAAATAATTTATTGAGATGCACCTGTAGGTCACTGTGGGTATTACAGTAGATATGAATGGTATTACTGTAGATATGTCTCAGCTCTTGCTTAATGCTAGCATAAGTAATAGGTTGTCTTGACATGTAGTGTAGTGTAGTGTATAAAAAATTATTTTAATAGGAATCTATCAAGAATTTTTAACTGATGTCTTACATTTGCAAAGTATTGAATTTATGTACGGTTACCTTCTCTTCATTATTATAGTAGCTGAGCTCAGTACTAGAATAAAAGTAAAATTAATCAACTTACTGGCAAATGGATGTCGCTGTCCCAGTCTTTTAACTGGCAGCCACACTGATGTAGATGACTTTTGAACATCATAGTTCCTTTTTTTGAAGGGTTCCCGGCCAGCAGCCACCAATACCTCAGAGCATAATATCAATGCAGGAAGCCCTTTCACCTACAATAATGTGAAAACATCTTTATTGTGTATCAATGAGCTATCTACTCAACAAAGCAGGGATAAAAATATTAGTATAGTTAATAGTCATCCTAGAATACACTGCAATACATAATTGTCAGATTGTCATTTATTAACAGCTAACAGTTATTAACAAAGATAGGCTATATGATCAAAACACATCAAATTGTAACAGATAAGTCTATTAAGTAAATATTGTCAGTTTAAACTTTCCCCATAAATACAGTACTTAAGGGCCATCTACCCTGCTGAAAAACACCTGCATGTGTAATGGCCATAGGCCTGTCCTGTATGAGTTGCATTTTCTGTCAATGCTATGTCTAAAATGTCTGTTAACCCTCTATGGTACCATGTTGTACTAATCAATGAAAATGCTAAAAAATTGGGGTCCATTTTGTTTCTACTTTCAGGACATGTGCACGTCACATGACTCTATATTTTCTCCAATGAAAAGTGCATTTATCATCCATTTTCATCCATATAATTGCCTACAAAAATCGGAGTCACCTTCACTGGTAAGTAAAGAAGTATTTTCAAAAACTTTACATAATATATGATGAAATGTATCATAAGAAAATTACAAAAAACCTTGAGGCAACATTGTACTGTAATGGAATCACATAAGGCCATGCAGGCATACTAGGTTAGAATACAAGTATATTATATGATGTTAGGAAAAAAAGAGCTAGAAAAGAGCTATTATCTAAATGTAGTTGCATTTTTGCTTGATTTTGTAATGAATTTATAAGAATAGTAATTTACATACTATATCTGCACATATTATGATTTTCTTTTGAGAGGAATTGCTTCCTCAACTTTCACAAGCAGTGAGGTGACGTGCTTGTGCACATGCAGATCCTTGTGTGTGTGTGCATGCTTGCAAGGATAAGTTGCATTTTAGGATAAGGTTATCGTGATTTTCAATGTTTTACCTTGAAATAACACTCATTGTAATGTTTTGATATCATAGCTAGATATAATGGTTTGGTTATATTTGTGATCCATGATGGTACAATGTTGCCTTAAAGCAGGGTTCCTCAATAGGCAGCCCGTGAGAGAAAAAAGTTTGTCCCGCGCTAATTTCAAATAATGTGGCATGAAAATTCAAACGCAGCATCAGAAAGCTACATTAACTTACATCGTGTCTACACCGGACACGAGCGGTGTGGCGTGATGCAATAAAATACAATTGAACTCGTTATAATCAGTGATGCTGTCAACACTGGATGCGGCGCGACACGACAAATCCCCAACAGTATTTACATACTATATCTGCACATATTATGATTTTCTTTTGAGAGGAATTGCTTCCTCAACTTTCACAAGCAGTGAGGTGACGTGCTTGTGCACATGCAGATCCTTGTGTGTGTGTGCATGCTTGCAAGGATAAGTTGCATTTTAGGATAAGGTTATCGTGATTTTCAATGTTTTACCTTGAAATAACACTCATTGTAATGTTTTGATATCATAACTAGATATAATGGTTTGGTTATATTTGTGATCCATGATGGTACAATGTTGCCTTAAAGCAGGGTTCCTCAATAGGCAGCCCGTGAGAGAAAAAAGTTTGGCCCGCGCTAATTTCAAATAATGTGGCATGAAAATTCAAACGCAGCATCAGAAAGCTACATTAACTTACATCGTGTCTACACCGGACACGAGCGGTGTGGCGTGATGCAATAAAATACAATTGAACTCGTTATAATCAGTGATGCTGTCAACACTGGATGCGGCGCGACACGACAAATCCCCAACAGTAAACTGCTGACTCGTTCTATTTATATCGTATTGACACAACGTTCAAATGATTTGCAATGCTTTGTTGCGGTCAAGTGTAGATACGATGTTACAGCAAAAACATGGCGAGTGTGTAGAAAAGAAAAGTGGACACGGAAAATAGATGATTCAAATGTGAATGGACTGAACAGTTTTGAGTGAGTGAGTGACTGACTGATATCTTTGTTATGGAATACACGTGTTGGTTCGCAGTGAGTTCACAGTTTTAACTTACAAGTTTGCTTTAATTTATTTTCAAGATCTGAGGTAAAATATCTATTGTTGCTTTCACTATGGCTATAAAGATAATAATAATATTCAAACTCACATTAGACACTTTTAACATTGAATAAAGCACATAATCACTACCTGAGATTATCACTGTCATATTTTGTATGTTGATCCTGCCGCGACGTCGCAGAAAAAACAAAAAAGTTTCTAAAATAGAATCCCGTGTCGCTGTCACGGGTGGTTAGGACAAAAACTACAAGAAAAATATGCTTTTTATCGCATCGTGTCTGGTTGGGACACCCGGTGTTACAATTTGATCCCCCCCAAAAAATCTAAGCATAAAAATATTAATACTGACAAATCTAATAATTGAATCTGCAATTAGGGAAAGTGGAGAGAAGAGATCCAGTCTGGTAATGAGCAGATTTTTTGTTTGTTCATTTGTTTTTAATATTCAACAGGCAAAGTTCTTCTGTATCTAAATGCAAAATGTTCATAATTTTTTGAATAAAACAGTTCAAACTGGGGGAAAAATCTGAATATTCATCTTGTGACCATCTTGTGATTATTTTAACAAAAGCAACAATAATATAATAATAACAATTATATATATGAAAAAATAATTTTGTTTCTAGCCCCTATTGGGTTCCAAAGTTATGATCCTAAACACAAATAGCCTTGTTATTGTGCCAACTAGTGTTGGACAAATGTGTGTCTGCGTGCCTGAGCTGCAGTGCACGATGGGGATCATCCTACCGAGTTTGAGGTCTAGGCGATTTATGGTCTCTCCCATGCAAAGCTAATGGCATCATGCCATTAACTTTGACAATGAGTTTATATGAAAACTTTGAGGTATCAAAAAGATTTTAATAGCTTTTTGCCAGCATGGTCTGATGGTGATCCGTATTATATTTGATGATTGAACAAACATTCTAGGATGAGTATCTACACTTTTAATGAGAGGATTCGTGAACTTGCAGAGCTCAGCACTGGACAAAAACTCTAAATTTTGAGCAGTGAGTGGATTCTAACTTACAGTAAACACCTCACGTTCAGATATGTCTGTGATTGGTTACATTGCTCAATGCTGCAAAACACGCTGTAAATATAAACATTTGATGCTCTCCAGAACACAAATATACACTGAAGTGTTTGCCAAATATGTTTCGCCAATATCAGATGGGGCCCTAAGAGGCCGCTTACTGATTAAGTATACCCCTGACAATAACTTGTAATTTAACATAATTGCTTTTTACTTTTGACCAACATGTGGTGCTGTCATAAAATTGATGTGGTGAGGTCAGTGTAGGGTCAAAAAAAAAAAGCCTTTGGTATCAATATTCCAAAGTGTTCCAGAATCTTTTTGTTGGCATCACGCCAGCAAATTTGTTGATAATGATACTCTAATATAATATATAATATGGAACTAACATCTCCGTGTTTTTTATGGGGGGAGGGTATGTTTTGTACATCAGGACGTTGCAGAGATCAAGTGCTCTGTATACATAGTCATGCTGATTGATTACCATTAGTAGTTATACTACAAATACCATGGTTAAGCTATGTTTAGTATAGCAAAACCATGGTTAATTTGTGGTTCCCTTACGGAAATTAACCGTGGATTTACTACAACTAAAACCCCAAATTTTACTAAGTTTACTATAGTTAAACCATCCTTTACTAAAATAACTGCAGTACATTGAAGTACAAATGCAGTAAAACTGCAGTAGATAGTAGTATAACTGCAGTACAATTGAAGTACAACTGTAGATTTGCAGTGTAGTGAAGTATAGATACAATATAAAGTCTCAGGTTGCTAACCATGGTTCCCTTAGTAAGGAACGAGACACTGCGTCCTCTAGGGGTCGCTATGGGGGAACGCCTCGTCGTGACCCGTGTCTGAAGCATACATTGAAAAAACACCAACTCCTTGGCCGGCGACAGCCATGACGTCACTACTGGTGCGACTATAGTATAAATAGGCGCCGGGAGCACACATCATTCACTTCTTCGTCTGAAGCTTGCGTCCGCAGCATGGCAAGAAACCTAGAGGACACAGTGTCTCATTCCCTACTCAGGGAACCATGGTTACATAAGTAACCTGAGATGTTCCCTTTCATGGGAACTTCGAACTGCATCCTCTAGGGGTCACTATAGGGAACGGTATACCCATGCCACCATGCTGAGGGGAGTGCATGCCAGAACCATGGCGAGCACTAAGTACCAACTCTACCATATTGCTATGGGAGTTGCCCCTGGAACATTAGACAGCTGTCAGTGACGTTATTCTCTATGGCCAAAGGCCTAGGCTACATACCCCAAAATACTTACCTGTTAGGGCCAGACTCTTGGGCCCGGGGTAGAGCTCAAGGCTTGGAATCAGGAATAGATTCCTTAAAGGGAATACGACCAAGAGCCTAGAATCATACTAGTCTTGGCCTGTCACACAGGCATCTGTTTGCAGATACCCGGAAGTACTGGGCCAAACGGGAGTGGCAAGCTCAAATACAACCCTCAAAGGTGAGGGGAGCACTGCCCGAGACAGCATGTACACAGGAAGGTTCTCGTAATGCCATCTATACCTCCCGCCCGATGCCTCAGCAAGAGGGGATATCCTGGTGATCGGGAAGCCCCTCAGGGCGACCCAGATACAGTAGACCAGTCAGGGTAGCATGAAAGCGTAACCCCAGCCCGGACGTCCAGGAAATTTTTGTAGTGAGGCACCGGAGGCCAGAAGCCTGTGTTATAGCCGCATGATCCAGGAAGTATGAAGCCGAAACCCGGCTTTTCTTACCGTCTGGACATATATCGACGAGTGAAATAAACACTGCAAGTCGAGCACCCGGATTCTGAACCCAGCAGAGGGGGTGCCCATCGAGGACCTACCCTAGAAAGGCACAGAAACACACAGGTCCCGGGAAACACTGCAAAGAAACTAGCAGAAGGGTTATATACACAACCACCAGCTCGGG